GGGGGGGGGGGGGGGGGCTGGGAAATGGGTGAAATATGACCCAAAACTAAGTCATACCCCCCTCGCATTAAGCAAAAATTAATTTCACCCCCCCTTCTCATAATGATAATATTAAGGCTACCCTCCCCTCCCTTGAAAAAAGTCTCCTCCCATTGATTCCCTCATACCTAGTTTACTTGTTGGAGTTCCTCCTCCGGTACAAACATCACTTCAAATGGCTCTTCGACGTATGTCGAAGAATCATTTGAAGAGTCATCAGAATCACTGGACTCTGAGCTTGTGTCGTCTTCGCATGAATTGGGAGATTCCCCATCTTGTACAGCATCTCTGGCACTAAGGTTCCCGCGTGCGTGAGTGAGAACTCGATCAATCAACGCAGCCTTACTTCCACTTAACTTCAGACCTTTTTGTTTTAGATACATTTTCAGCTGCTTGTTGGTAAGCGCTTTTACATCTTTTTTAATTGTCCAAGAAATAACCGGAAGAGTGTTCCTTTCTCTTACGTACACTTTTTTTTTGCTTTTGCATCGAGGAACTCAAGGTGCTGTACATAACTTTTTCATGCAGTCTCGTCCACGTTGTACTGGGAACATACCTTTTGCAAAGACCTCTCTTCAGAAGAGGGCAATTTTCCCTCGTTGAACAATCTCTTTATCTGGACACTTGGGAGAAACTTGTCGATCTGGTCTCCAGTGGACGTTGCCGTAGTGAATGGTAAACACTTTCCAGGCGAAGTAGCATCTAGGGTTGGAACTGGAGAACGTTGGACAGGAACACCTCTTGTCCAACCTTTATTAAGGCATCCATCGCAACGTTGGAGTGCAGGAAAACTTAAGGTACTCAAGGAAGTACTGCCCCTGACGAATATGGTCTTCTTTTAATTTCTGAAGCTTTTCAAACAAAGCATCCCCACACATATTAAATTTTAAATCCAACCCCTCTTTCTCTTGTTGTCATTTTCACCTATGCCCCACCCCCCCTCAAATTTTCCAAGCCCCCTCCTCACCAGGTAATTATTGTACAGTCCCTAAGCGGATTCCTAAAGCTAGAGACTACCTCGTGGTTATGTTGACGAACACGACTTTGAATCGCCTTGACTTCGGAATATTAACAATGGGAACAGCTATATTTCACTGGCTGTAGCTTGATTGAATTTGTTGATTAGTTCCAGTCGCTACAGATAGCTCAATCTTTATCCGGTCGAATATTGTTCGCTCGAATATGGTTTGGAATCGGTGGAAAAGTACTCTGAAGGCAAGATCCATGAGAGTGAGCCTGAACCAAGGAAAGGCAACGTAAAAAAAAAAACTGTCTACGGGAAAATATTCAGGGGAAATATTCGAATCAGTCGCGCGGAGTTTGTTTACGATAAACAAGTACGCGATTGCAAATGTGTGCTTCTATTTGTGCTTCCAGCTTAGGATAATGTACGTAAAAAATATATACTTTAACAAGTTACCTTTTACGCTTAAACATTACCAGTTGATGTGAAATATTTAGCACGAAATATTGTAAATATGTTTGTGAGTCTACGGAAACTGGCACCGTCACGTAACGTATCAACAAATCGTAGTTTATACAGGGTACCTCTTCATTGGCATGGACTTTGACACTGTGATATATCTGTCTGTAAAACCTCGTTTGCTGATGAAAAATGGTGATTTTAGCAATAGACAGAGGTTGAAAGTCAGTTTGTGAAATCATTTAAGGTATACATATTAAAGTGACGGCGTCGAAAGCACTTATAATCTTTGATTACTTCTAGTTGTTTTATTAAAAGCGCCCTCAAAATAAGGCAAAATAATCGAAAATAAAATAAAATTAAAACAGAAACGTCCCCCATCTCCTCCGCTAAAAAGATTATGTATGCTTGCCTATTTCGTAGAGCATTGTATATGTAATTGCTCTTATACTATGATAGCTAAGCCAATGAAAACGGGCGTATTATAAAATGCAACTTCATTTGTCACTGTATATACGTGTTGTGGAGTGATTCGTGATTTGACAAGAGTCGATACTGATAACATGGACCTGAAAGTTAAGTAAGAGAGCTTATAATCCCGCTCATTGTGACGGGGCACATGTAAAATGCGGGAAAAAATCCTATTAGCCGTGAACATTCCATAAGCTTCGACATCTTATTTTCCTTTAAACAATTAAAAAAGACGACACAGTTTAAATTTGCAACACATGTTTCGGATACTCAGTATCCATCTTCAGTTAAAGGATGTTTACAAGTGAGTGACTTTATACAAAGTAGATAACAAGTAGGTGTAAATTTTGTAATTTACACCTAATTGTTACCTACTTTATAATCAGTATAGATTTAGCCAAGCCTAAACGCGAAACTCCTGCGCCGGGTTGTTCGAAGCCCGATTAAGATAACCCAGATTAAGCGAGAAATTTAATTTGAGTTTTGTAACTTTGCAGTGAGGTTTTCTGTATGTTGTTTAGCCTTCTGTTTTGAGTTTGAATAATCTCAAAATACAGAAAACAAAACCAGCGAAAAACATTTGTATACAAGAACTATTTTTACTCCTGTTAACTTTAATCCTGCGAACAACCCGACCCCGTTTACAAGTTAATCTGACATGAGCCCGCGATCCAATCGAAAAACCAGCACCTGGTCAGCGGTCAACTTAAAAAAAACACGTGACCTCGATGAGCTGTAAACTTGAGCCCGCGATATGGTCACGTGATACAGATCAGCGTATACCTTGTTTTGACAGGTGTCAATTGACCATAACATGGATGTCCAATATCAAACAATGAGGCTATAGAGTAAGGCTGTGTTTCTGTCAACCTTTTAGCTGGAGTATGGCCGCCATCTTGCGCGACTCCGTCGTCGTCGTTGTCGTCGTGCGTACGCGCCCATGAGCAATACCGCTAGCCATAATAACCATGAGAAAATCAATTCATGGGTTTCCTTTTCTTTTCTTATATGGGTATGGTGCTTCGCTTGGCGGCCCTTCGGGCCGCCGGAGCTTTAAAATGTTTGATATCAATCTTACTGCTACGAAAATAAGGAGGAAGACTGAAAAAAAAAACAAAAAAAACAAAAAAACAACAACAACAACAAAAAACATTATTCTGCTGTGGTTAAACTATCCAAATCAAATGAAAGTAAATAAAAACCCCAATGATTTATATCTTCCGGCTGCAGCAATCTGTTTTCTTTTATTTGTTTTTACGAGGCTTTTTGTTAACTGTTCTGAAAATTTTCCTAGTACTGGAGGAACTGGTAATAGGACTGAGTGGAGTCCAATTCGGTCTGTAATGATACTCATGATAAACAAAGCGGACTCCCGCAGCGCGTCGTCCAATTTTGTTATTACTCGTATGATTACAGACCGAAATAGACTCCACTCAGTCCTATTACCATTACGAACTGTTAAAAGAAGGAAAAGACTGAAAAAAAAAT